CTGAGTGAAGGTGGAATCATGACCCGAACAAATGTCAATGGGAACCTGGCGTGCCACTGGTGAACGTTAATTGAGATGAAATTCATCACCGAGTGACATAACCACGACTGATTTTGTTTTTGCCGTAGATGAAATCTAAATATTAGATCATTTTCCAACTAATAAAGTTGACTGATTTCGTAGTATACTGGTAAACCTTGATTGGCTGACGAATGATTTCTTGGATCATGAACTACATATTGACACGAGTACAAGTGGATTTCATAATAAAAGATTTATTGGAACATCTTCTAGTGAAATTAGTTTCCGAGAAAATCATCTCAACGTTACAAATTATGCCTGGGAATGATATTTAATTAGTCATAGTAACATGAATTCCGGGCAAATTCAAGGTAAACAGACAACAGCCTTGATATCCTAATCCGTTGACATCAGTCACAAGACGAAAATTTACTTGGCTGGCTCTGATTTATACAGATATATAAAAACTCAGTATGACAGAATTTTGGATACAGACAAGCTGTTTCCTAATGAATCAAGGTGAAGTCTCACTTCTATTAGTTTTGAGTGTTTCCATTAAAATCATTCCCACTATTCTAAATACCTTACCACAAAAGCCGCATTGTTCACATTTCAATAAACGGTAAAATATTTACACAAGATTTCAGAACGGTGTGGCGAATATTACCAAATTTCACTGAAACCATGGACTGATCAATGTTAGACTACTATGTGTGTGAATGTAGAATTTCTAGGCAAGTGCGCTGTTATGCAACTGCGAAGTCTAGATCTCTCAGTTACATCCTAACTGCCCACTGTATACCGTGCTTCCCTCGAAATGTTTAGGTCTTCATAATTCAGTCGATCACCAGGAGTTAGAGAAAGATTTTTAATGTCTAGATTCACTTAATCCATGATATTGTGCGACTGTTACTCATTGGCTTCAGTGAGCAACTCTCTCATAACACGGTTGAATATTGATAAAGAAATGAATTCACTGGGTTTTTCAACACTAGCAGAATATCACTGACATGTTTGGTTTACCCGTGTTTTAAACTGACCCCCCGTCAACACTGCACTTTTTTACATCAAATTTAACGATATGCATGTTCCCTTAAGAGGAAAATCTGACAGTTAAGAGCTCTGAATTTTTCGACGTTTATTAGAAATCAGATTTCATTTATCTTCTATTACGCGTACGCAAATCTATTTTTACCAAAATATCAACTTTCTCAGATGTACATACTACACAAATGATTATAAATGATTGATCTCAGTAATTTAAACAATGAATACATGAAGTTGTAGAACAACACAGTCAATGTCCTAATCTCTTAGGGTATTCTTTCAATGTAATCCGGGTGATACCTTGTTAAAACATTTTTACTAAAGTTATTTAACTGTTTAGGATCAATTATCCAAATATCCGACAACTGAACGATGTCGTAATCCATAGTATGTATTGATGACGCCAAATGATCAGTCTAATTTGGCATAAGTGTGCAGTAAGTGGAGCGCCATGTTCATGAAGTAATAATAATTGGCAATGGCATGTAATCTTAATAATGATAATAATAATTTATTCTCAAATAACATGTTACGAGAGACATGCCTATTTACAGACAACATAAAAATGTTAAAATTGCTGACATATATTTTCTGTAAAATGTTGTTTAGTCACTTAAATATTTCATAAGTTACATTGGCTTCATATAGGTGGCTGAAATTCTACAAATAATATCATAGATAATGTTTCAAACTGTGAGATGTACAATGTGATAATTAAAGTGTCTTACAACGGTTACGCTACGATGAACCACTAATAACTGAGAACCAATGCAAGGTAAATCCAGGTCTGCATATAAGAAGAATTGATGAAGTAAATGTGCAGAGAGTTTGTTGATATTCGTCAGATAATAAATTTACAGGCTCCTGGGTAAAGTAACCGACAGACTAATATCCAAGGATTATAATATGGTGCTGAAAAAGAGAAATAAAGAGAAAGGGGAGAGTAGAAGAAAAGAAAATATATTAGATCAAAGCGGAGTCATGACTCAACAGATTATATTCTTGGATAAAATAAAGCTACGATCTGTTTTAAATTAGAACGCTAACTATACAGATGTACTTATGTAGGATAATGAAGACAAATCAACAGTAAGGTAATGAATGAGCAAATAATCTTATGAATATAGGGGATCAAAAAGAACTAAACTGTTAGCAATAGTACTGATTTACAGAATAAATTATTGAAGGCATAGTGATCTTAGGCCTTAGTGATATTTTATTTATCCTTAAGAAGTCACTAGTGAGCTGTTTTACACCTAAATTTCCTGGATCTGCTTGTAATAGGATCTCTTGTTAGGAAGTAAAATTAGCTCAAGTTAACAAGATTAACAAGAAAAGTAACATCAATATCACTCACTTATTACATCTTGCTATATCGTAAGGAGCTATAAGAAAAAAAGAGGGTCCAAAATAGAAAATAAATATACTGAAGAAAAAAGACGAATAGGTCTTGTAAAAACATGCTAACAGTTAATTTCGGAAAATATTCTTTTGTAAAGTAAGTTCAGATTTCGGTGATAGTTCAAACAGCGGGAATTCGTATTTCTGACATTTCACGACTTATTGCAAACAAATTAGCACAAATTTAGATGGTAAGAGGAAATTTTACTTCTTTAAAGTACGTGATGTTTTTTGACGTAATGTATGTAAATGTTCATCGAGAGGTTTCGCCAGTGTCAGTTACCTAATTTTAGTAACTTCTAGAGTACTGAGAGTTCTCTATGTAAATCTCAATGTAATCCTCTCTGCAGGAGGGTGGTTTAATAATTTCTAACAACTGTCAAGAAGATTGTGAAACATTATCCATTTTGTAGAAATTACCACCAACGGTAGGCTTGAAATTTTCTGCCCAACGGGTCCGAAAAGAAACGTGCAGCTCACTGATTCATATAATAATAATATATTTCTCCTCGAATAACAGTGTGCAACAAAAGACATGCTAGTTTACAGGCCAGATCAAATTGTTGCAAATGCCACCACATATACTGTGGAAGAGTCAGTGTCATAAGAGCCTGTTTCCGACAGCAACTTTAAGCCATACCACCTACATAAACAGTTTAATAATGACATTTTCAACAATCCATAACACAGAAGTGTTCCTGTGTGGCCTTCATATTTCAGGAGAGGAAAAAAGAGCAACAAGGTAGTCGGATAACCAGAGAATTGATTAGCCTTTCATGGTGAAGTAAACACGGCAGTAGTGGGTTAAGATAAAATTCATACAGACCACTGAAATTAAAGTAAATTGGGGTAAAATGACCCACAAATTAAGAAGTATGCAGTGAAGAATAAAGAATCCTCAAATGTGTCGAGCGGATAGAAGTTGAAATAAGAAGCTAGGTGTCTGTAAATTGAAACCAGAAGTTCAATAAAAGGGGTAAAGCTTGTAAAACCCACTGATAATTGTATTTTTCACAGACCATCTTCTTTTGTCCCGTCGAATACCAACCTCTTAGTGCCCGAGTCATCATGTTGCAGGTAGTTTAGGCAGAATGTAGATCCCAGCAAATATATGGAAATTTGAGAATAAATTATTATTATTATTATTATTATTATTATGATTCTTTGAAGTGGCAAGCGTATAACAGCAACCTCAGTATCACAAACCAATCACATCAGCAGCCGAAATCAAGCAAAATGTTCCGCCCCACAAACATGGGTGGATTGAAGCGGTCTCCCCAACTAACAGTGTTTTCTGGACAGTAACCTCACCTTCCCTCGTTTACTGTTGTTAGGTCACCTAAAATGACTGTAAGATAATATTTCACATTTCACTTGAGGTTCTATCTTTCACATCCTGTTAAGAAGCACTATTTCCAAAGTTACCTTTTACAAATCGAATTCCAGAGTAGCAACAGTAACAACGGGAAAGAGTAGGTATAAAATTTACGATTATAGGAAATGTAAATCAGTGAAGGAACTTCGTCAGTTATTGGTTGGCTAGAATTCGGGCAGACACGGCGAACGGGTTCACCTTCACCAGTGCAAACGATTTTGAGTAACATCATTTGAAGTCTCTACCCGCTGGATATGATTATCGTGCAGGCCTCAACCAGGTAGTTTACGCCTATTAGCATGGTTCGGTCCATTTATAGACTGGTGACTTGTTTTCGTTTGGCCGACCTTAACTTTCTTCCAGCTTACTATACTACATCAGACAACATCACTCACCGACGTAGATGGTTCAAACGAGCATGAAACACATGTCCTAACCATTTCAGTCGATGAAGAATCACTGCTTTATGATTAAATGAGTCATCCTTACCTAGTGCCCATAAGGTTTGCACATATTCGCATGACCTAGTCCATTTGTCGATGGATTGATGAACTGGTGCGATGTCTTGATTTAACCGCCCTTAGCTCATGAATGTGCTCACTAGTAATTCCTACTTACATGATATTAGATGCTACCGATGAGTACGATGCATAATCAATATATGGAAGCTTAAAGCCACTCAAAATTTCGCGGAACCACATTCTATGATTACTAAAGTTAGAAAGATACTTCTAACTAAATTTGAAAACATCATATGAGAGTAGCTCAAAGAAACCAAGAACAACAATAAAACATCTTTGGTGTAATAAGAGCGGCAGTTTTAGGTAGAGCCGATCGACATATCTGTTTTCAGTCAAGAAGGCAAATTTTATTTCCAAGCTTCATATCGACAAGTTCACGCATCAGTTGCCCAATTTTTAGGTACCGTTGAGGCAACCATCAAAACGAAGAAAAATATCACACTACATCAAAAGGATTGTACTAATGAAGTGAAATAATGAAAATGTGAAAGTGAAGAAAAATTATTTACAAAACGGGTCTAATGAAACCATACCAAAAGTTAAAGAAGCAGGCTCAAAGACATCAATTAGTTTATACCAGCTTGTGAATGTATTGGATATTGGATATGCTTACCGCCACTCACTAAAACTGAGGACAAAACTGGCGCACATTTCATGCGTTTAAGGTCACATCAAGGTTGTTGTGTAGTTGTCTAGATAGACTACTATGAAAGTTCTTGGCAGGGAGCTGAATAAAAACTCGTCTGGATATATAACTCTTATTGCAGAAAATGAAGAGGATATGTGGTTAACGTATAACTTAGTGCAGGTTGGAGATAAAATGCGATGTTCCACTGTCAGAAAGGTTCAAAATGAATCTGCAACTGGTAGTGTACAGACAAAGCAAGTGAGAACTAATCTGACAATAGAGGTAGAAAAGATCGATTTCGATTTACAGGCAAGTACTAAAAGTGTTCCTCACCACAATATATCTACTTCTAAGTTTCTATTAGTTTTTATCAGTAACACGGAAAGTCAAGATACTCAAAATATGAATTATAAAATATATCTATTAACGTTTAGGCTTGTTTGCTAAGGGTTTCGAAGGATATTTTATTGTGATTGATGTTCTTGATTACGTACTTAGGGAATAGATACATCATGAAATCTATTATTCCTTGTTGCAGGTAATAGTTGGTCACTAGTCCACTCTTCTTTATAGTTCTTAATGAACATGTTAGTGACGAAAAATTTTAAAAAAAAGCGAGCTTCACTATTCCGGATCCAAACTTACGGAAGTTTGTGCACAGCATAGAACAATGATAATCAGATAATTCTAACATTATAATGCTGGAAATATTCAAAGACAAAATTCATAAACCACCAAGTCAGTTGACAGACTCGTTATCGTATATACTTTCTATCTAATTAAATCTGGTTTAATCACTCCAGACAAATCCCTTCGCCAATTAATAAACACATTTTGTTATAACTCCGAGCAAACTTGTTTGTCAGATAACCTCCCAATTTTAAGATTCTTAACGGCCAATAAAGTAATGTGTGATTAAAAAAGCGTCTTACTGGGTAGATATCAGAAAGAGTCGTCATATTAGATGATCATATTGTAAAACTCAAGTTAAAATACTTTCATTACTGAGTTGGTCATAATGGTAATTGAGACTGCATTCATAAAGTGAAATATTTTGGTAATGATTAATAAGGCGGTGCTTCGAAAACAAGGCAACTATGAGTAAAATACTCGAATCTTATGGAATTAGTTGACGATCGATCCCCGAGAGTGTACCATTTTCGTATTATCACCAAAATGCGCATTGCTTCTACAAAATAGAAAACTGTCTGAGTTCACATTCCAAGAGTATTTACTGGTTGTATTCAGTCATTTAGACATTTTATTTTTATCACTTACACTTTTCTGATATTTTTTAAACAGCAATGTTTTTCTTAAATAGGGTTCAGTACTTCATTTGAAGGGGCGCAATGTAGTAGAAAATCAATTCGTCAAAATGGGTGCTTATCATACATTAGACTTAGGAATTGATGAAAAGTTTACTATCACTAAAACAGAATGGGATAGTGTTGCAATTATGCTTGTTGAACAAGCATCCGATCCAACACAACAAGCTGATGTTGCTGCAGTGATTATGCATGAAGGCTTAGCATATGTTTGTTTAATAACTAGTACAACAACTATTGTTCGTGCAAAGATTGATATTACCATTCCACGTAAACGTCCAGGTTTACCTACTGCACAACATGACAAGGGTTTGACACGATTCTTTGAACAAATAATGCAAGCACTAGAACGTCATATTCGTTTCGATAGTAAGCTTTTATATTATATTACATTTATTGGTGTTTTAAATTAACTTTTTGTATGTTTCTATTCAGGAATTTTTAAAATCACATTGCTTCATTCATAGGTATTAATGAAGTGATGTTCTAGAAGTGGTTAAATCAGTTACAGTTCTCTGTTGAGTTCTCTATTCGAACCCTGCCACGCTAACTTTAGTTAAGACACCTGAATAATAACATTCGCTCTTACAATAAAAATGTATCTTATGGCTTAATGATACTTTGAGAATAAGTGATAAATTTACTTGATCCTATTTGTACTATAATTTCTGTCTTACAGAATATGTATACAGTGCTTATCACCAAATATTAACTTGTCAGTCAGTTACAACTTAGAACTTCGTATCTATGTACACTAGCTCAAGTTGCCATACCACATTAGTACACGGGCGCAATTGTTAATTCAAAACACATAGTGGTAGAGATAGTAGAAGTATTAGCAGTAATCAAAGTGATAAATGATCGAATATATCATTCGAAATGTATACGCTATAGGAATCAGTTAAAAAAAAAGTCATGAGCAATTCAGGAGATTAGGATGTGAGAGAACACAAAGAATGGATGTACCTGCGCTATAGCAGATGGTTTTGAGCCATGTCATTCATGGTCTCTAACCATCGATTATTATCATCTCGTGGACCCCAACCAGGAAGTCGACAATTACCGACATGATTCAGTGCGCTTGTCAATGACTTCATGGACTGCTGCCATGTTTTGGTCTGGCCGCTCCTAACTTTCTTCCAACCTACTCCTACACCACAAAACGTTTCTCGTTGAGGTGGTCGGAGATTTATAACTTATGTCCTAACCACGGCAACTGATGAAGTTTCACCACTTCATCTATTGATCAGCCATCCTAGTACCTAGTACCCGTTTCCTAAGTATAGCATTGCTTACTCGGTTGTCCCAGGATACACAAGCAATGCTTCGGAGACGCCTATGATCGAAAACCAGTAACCTGCGAATATCTTCCACTCTTACCGGTCATATTTCAAAGCCATGAAGTGAGACGGAGCGAACTGTTGCTCAGTAGACTCGTCCTTTGGTTAGCAGACGAACTTGGGTTATATTCTAATCGTCTTCAATAATTTTATTCCTTTTATATGGAGAATTTTAGATGGTTAATTAAATTAATTAAATAAAGCGGATTTGTGTAGTTAGTTTTACGGCACAACCACATAATGTCTCAAACTATCAATTATAACTTATATACAATTTCTTAGCTAGAAATTTTGCACGTTGACTTACTTACTTACTTACGCCTGTAACCCCTAATGGAGCATACACCACCGACCAGAATCCTCCAACCTACTCTATCGTGGGCCTCTCCAGTTCTGTCCAATTTTTGTTCAATCTTCTCATATCCTTCTCTATTTCTCAGCGTAATCTTTTCCTTGGCCCTTCCTATTTTCCCTTGACCTTGAGGGTGGTTCCAAGTTAAGGCTTGTCTTGTCCACACAGTTTTATGCTTTCCTCAATACATCTCCTATCCACTTCCAGCGCTTTTAAATATGACTTCAACTACTATTAGTCATTGAATTTATGAATTAATATCATATATAATAATGGTAAATTAGATGAAATAATTATATATATATATATATATATATATATATATATATATATATATATATGTGTAACTCATATCTTAGTCCGCTAAGTTCTCAAATATCATCAGCGTACTTACCGTTTGCATTTAGTTGCAGATACAACAACAACAACAACAACAGGACCCTGATTGATGAAGTTACTTACCATCAATAAACAAGATGTCTCCGAAGCATTGCTCGTGTATCCTGGGACAACCGTATAAGCAATGCTGTCATTAGGAAACGGTTACTAGGCAAGGATGGCAAATCAATAGATGAAGTAGTGAGACT